GGGAAAGCTCTCATCAGCCTGCTGCTTTCCTCCTCCTGGCTGTCAGATTTTCTCTTTCCTCCTTGCCCTCTACATTTCAGGGCCAACCCATGCCTTTCTGAACATCTGCCTTGAAAGTCTCAGTCTTCCATCCCCATTCCTTTCCGTAGTCAGCTCTGGTCAGCTCTGGACTAGGAAGGCCTCTGACTGTCACTGGGCCCCTCAGGTTCCCTCTTCTGCAGTTAGCACATAATCATTGGCTTCAGCTTCACCCTGCACTGCCTCAACCCAGAGCTCAGATTAGGAGAGTTAAATAAGGGAGGGTGCCCCTCTATGCCTAGCTGTGCCTCCTGTTCTGGGAGCCCACCCCTGTGTAAGACTAAGGCCCGAGACAAATTTCATTTGCCCTGGAGGGGAGCACTGAGGTCAGGAATGCTGCTGATAGAGTTCACAGCTTTAAGATTCCCCCAGATGACCTGGGGTGGAGGGGGGAGCCACAGCACTCCCTTTTGCTTCAGTCTTCTTCTGACTTCCATCCACCTCTATGCCAACTCTCTGGATGAAGCCAGGTGCCAGGAGTTTCTTCCAGGTTTCCCATGTGGGTGGCAGGGGCTAAACAACTAGGACTTTTCTTTTTGTATTTTGATTTTTTTTTAACTTTTATTTAATAAATATAAATTTCCAAAGTACAGCTTTTGGATTATAGTGGCTATTCCCCCCATAACTTCCCTCCATCCACAACCATCCCATCTCCTACTCCCTCTCTCATCCCATTCTTCATCAAGATTCATTTTCAATTATCATTATATACGGAAGATCAACTTAGTATATACTAAGTAAAAATTTCAGCAGTTTTCACCCACAGAGATTTAAAGTGCATCCCCCAGGCCATTAGTGGAATGCTGGATTGGAAGTGAAACAGCCTAGAGAACTAGAGCCCATATGAGATAACAGTGTTGCAGGCTGCGGCTTTACTTCATAGGCCACAAAGCCAGTCCCTGGAAGGACTTTTCGAATTTGAGTAAGGACATGGCTCTGTCATTTATTTTCCAGTGAAAACTTGCCATTAGGCTATACTATATGCATATTATGGTGTATCAATACCATACAATCAATTGAAGAATAGGCTACATGGGGAAATCTAGAAACAAAGCAGAATCTACTTCAGTATTGGCAGTGACTTTTGTGGATGATGGAATCACAGAGTTATTGTTCATGTTAATGCTTTTCAGAATTCCCTTTTTCCAAAATGAACAACATTTTCTTTAGAATAAAGGAAAAAACATCACCCATGAGTCTGCTAGCTTGATAAAATCTCAGTTATTATAGTTTTGACACCTTTTCCTATCCAAGTGTTTTTACACAGGTATAATCATGATGTACATACATTGTTTTATTCTCCTTTTAAACAAGATATGAATTTATTTATATGAGAGGTTTTATATACAGCATTGAATGCATGATCCATAAAAATATATAATGTGAGCTGTGTTAACTAAAGGTGTTCTCTAACATATTATTTAAATAGAAGATAAGTCCCACAATGGGAGATAACACTTGTAAAACATATATCCACAAGAATTGCCTGCAAATTTCATGAAGCTTGTGACATTTAATAAGGTGATAAATCCTCCAATTTAAACCTAAAAAATCGAGTTGTATTTACATAAGATATATGCAGATTAGAAATAAATACACACAATATATTGAAGTTTAGGGAATTGTGAGATAAAAGAATGAATGTTTCATAAAATTAATACAAATTAAATGCCAATGAGGTAGAAACACTACATATTTATAAATTGTCTTAATAAACAATCATTTTGGTGCCAATTTTTACTAGGATGTAGAATATTCAAAAATACTATTCATTACTGGTCAAAATGGCTAAATCCTTCACAAGATATCTGGATAAGGTATTATAAAGCCTATGATAGTATCCTTATACAGTGCAGGAAGGATGTCCTGATAGATTTACCCAGCTAACTGGAAAGCTTAAACCCACAATCTAGGATAAAAACATACACAGCAGCTTTATTCCTAATGCCTAAAACCTGAATGAAATCAAAATGTTCTTTAGTAGATAAACAGAGAGCCAAGCTGTCACAGTAGGTGGAGGCTCTTGAAGGCACATGGAATTAGGAAATATGGGGCCTGGACACTGGACATGGGGACACAAGAAAAAAGGTATGGGCTGGAGTCACAGGGGTTCCAGAGACACAAGGAAGACATTGGCTTCAGGCAAGTAGCAGGCAGACAGCTGAAGGAAGCCGTAGTTGTAAGCAAAGGGCAGAGTGGTACCCACAGGCTTCCACAAACTGGGAGTAAAGGGACGAAGTCACTGCAGGTCAGGAGAAAGGTCACTCTATACAGAGAAGGACTGGAGACACACAAGTCCTGACAGGTTGTATGGACAAGGGAGGTCAGCACTTAGGGAAAATTAGGGCTACATACAGAGTGGCTGGGGACCCATGGGGACTGGCATGGTGTGCAGGCCCAGCAGGAGACTTGCAGAGAGACGTGCTGTACATAAAAGGGATGAGGACTCTCACAGCTGGGACATGCTGTGGACACAAGGAGCAGAAGCTTTAAAGAGCTGGCTTGGATGACACTTTTTAAATGACAAAACTATCAAAATGAACAAGGGTCCCAGATAAAGGAGATGTTGAAATAGCAAATAACATATGAGCTTTAGGAACAGGATTAGAGATATGCAAAGTGAGCAGACACATGGAACTGGAAACATTAGGAGGCAGACAGGGCATATTATTACAGGATTTGGAAACACAGCAAAAAATACAGGAGATGCAATATAAATTGTCACAGTAGGTGGAGACCTGCTTAGAGAAAATTTAGAGCCTCAAGTGATTGAGAACCAGTCATTATGGCTTCCTTTTTTAAAACTGATTTGTTTATTTATTTGAGAGAGAGAGAGAGAGAGAGAGGGAGAGAGAGAGAATCTTCCATCATTCCACTGGTTCACTCCCCAAATGGTTTTAATGGCCAGAGCTGGGCCAGTCTGAAGCCAGGAGCCAGGAGCTTCTTCTGGATTCCCCACAGAAGTGTAGGGCCAAGCATTTTGGCAATCCCTTGTTGTCTTTTCCAGGCCATTAGCAGGAAACTGAACTGCAAATAGAGCAGCCTGGACTCAAACTGGCACCAATATAGAATGCTGGGGTTGCAGGTGGCAGCTTTACCCACTATGCAATAATGCCAGCTCCCTGCAGTTTTTTTTTTTAAGAACTAAAATTAACTATAGAATAAACCACACAATAGAGGCAAGTAAAAACAGGCAGGCATCAATGAAACCTGTAGAAAAATGCACAATAGAAATAAGGAAAAAGAGTTTTTAAAGCATATTAACAAAATTAATAAAAATTAGTATAAGTCATTAAGAAAAGAAAAGAGAAATACCATACAAAGAACCAGCTTCAGGAATCCAAATAGCATCATCTTCACAAATTTTCTTTTTTTTCATTTTAAAGATTTATTTGAAAGTCAGAGTTACAGGGGAGGCAGCAGAGTAAAGAAAAAAAAGAAAAACAAAGAACTACACACATACACATGAACACACACACACACACAGAGAGAGAGAGAGAGAGAGAGAGAGAGAGAGAGAGAGAGGGAGAGATCTCCCATCCCTTGGGTCACTACCTAAATGGCTACAGTGGATAGGGAGGCAGAAGCCAGGAGTGAGGAGTCAGGAGATTCATTTGGGTCTCCTGTGTTGGTTGCAGGGGTTCAAACACTTGGGCCAGTTTCAGCTACTTTCCCAGGACACTTAGCAGGGTGCTACATCAGAAGTGAAGCACACAGGACTTAAATTGGTGCCTTTATGGGATGCTGGCATCCCTGCTGCAGCTTTACTCATTACACCATAAAGCCCCCGGCTACCCTCCTCCATTTATAAACCTTAACAAGATAGTAAGTATTGTGAGAAATAGTTTGGAGTAAAAATTTTTTAAAGAGACATCAAGTCACCGAATTTTGGAAACCAATATACCATAACACAGATATTGCATACTGTAGAGAACTTCCATATAAGTTAAATAAGACTAATCAGTAGTTGAAAAATCAAATCAATGAATTTTAAAATTCCACAAGGAAAATTTCAGAGTCAGAAAATTCTAGACATTCAAGGAAGGTTGTTGCTCATTTTCCCAGATTCATCTAAAGTGGCAATAGACAGAGAATATATTTGAATTTCTTTTGAATTCATTGCTTTACATTAGTGGACACAGATCAGGTGGAAGGAACTTAACATAAATCTTTAATAAGAGACACAGGTACTTGAAGCAAAATATGAAAACAGAAGAGATCAACAACAAGCAGGATACATTAGAAGATGCAAAGATGATTTAACATTCCAAAATAATCCAAGTAAATAATTCATGTGTAAGAAAAATATAAGTAAATCACAAGAATGTTGAGATTAAATGTTGAAAAGCTTTTAATAAAACAACTTATAACTATAAAAAGAACAGAAAAAATAATAGCAATTCCCTAATTGTAATTAAGACTAGCTACAGAGAAGTAATAATAAACAGCATAATTAACACAGAACACTAAACGATTTTTCCCTGGAAATAATCTTGGGCAAGGTTTTCTCCTCTCTCTTTCTTCAACATTGCCCTGGATGCATAATTAGGGAAATTAAACAAACAAAAAGAAATGCGAGGTATTGGGTTAGCTTTTAAGTAATAGAACTCTTAATGTATGTTAAGGATATTAGTATATGTAGAGAAAATCCAACATAAGCCAAAACCAAATATGAGCTGATAGGCGAATTAACTAAAATTATTGGGTACAGGATCAATACAATCAAGTAGGTTACCAGGTCCCCGTAAAAAGCAAATAGAAAACAATGGTAACGGACAAAGTACAATCCAGAAAATGAATATCTGTATGAGAAATACTCTTCAAATCCGTATTTTACAAAATCAAATGACCTAACAGAAAAATAAGCCAAGAACACAAAGAGAAAAAGGCCCAGAATCCGTAAACAGTAAACTGTAACTCACCTGAGGATTATGGCAAGCTCCAGATTCAAGGTCTGAACAGGATCTCAGGAGATGGGATCCTGCGGGCGGGGCAGCACCCCCTGCAGTCGGGAAGGCCAAGTTTCAGGCCTGAGACCAAGCCCCGCCTCTCACTCCCCCACTGGATGTAACCCCAAGGGCCCGCCCTCACACTAGAGACGATACTGATTGGGTGCGTCCTCTGTGACGTCATGCGGCCTCTGTGACTGTTGAATCAGGTGCGCCATGGCAACAGGGCAGACCCTGAGGGATCCTCTTCCTGGTCTGCTCCTGCCGGTCAGCTCAGACACTTCTACCCTGAACTCCCCTCAGCGCAGGGCCCTGAGAGGACGCCCGGAGTCCCTGGATGCAGGAAGCGGTGAGTGTGAGTCCCGGGCCCACAGGAGGTGAGGGGGGCGGGCAACTGGGACCCTGGTGTGCGGCCCTGTCTCAGTGTGCAGCGACTCCGCCTGAACCCGGCCTCACCTCTCCAGGTTGTATGGGGAGAAGGAGAATCTGAACCTCACCCGTGACCTGATTTCCTTGAGTTGGGCACCTGGGTCTCAGGTCCATAGCTTTTCCTAGGGGTCTGGATCAGTGTTTTGTTTTGTTGCTAATGACAGCATGTTTTTGGGCCAAGGATGCGGGGCAGGGTGTGGGGACGGACTTTCTGCTGGTGAGGCTTGGGATGGCACAGATCCCACGTGGACAAATGGAGTGTGGGGGAGGCTGACCCCAGGTGGTGTGAGCACCAAGATCTGGAGCCTGGGGAACCTGAGTGTGGGTTCCACAGGCTGCCTCCCAGAGCTCATTCCATTCGTGTCTTTTGTAGAAATTTGCTTCCATTTATTCACAGTCTGCCCACTTGTGTAGGAACTGTGTGACATGATTTGAATGTTAGACTGCTGTTTTCTTTGATGAAACCTGAGTTTATTCAGTAATAAGATTTGAAAAAGGAAAGAGGATCTTTTATTTTCTGCTAAGTTTGATTAATAATGTAAACACTAATGGAATGGCTACCCAGGTAAATAAGTGGGCCTTGGTCAGTTCAGGGGTCTTGTTTCTTTTTTAAGTTTTATTTATTTATTTGAAAGGTAGAGTTACAGAGAGGTAGAAGTGGAGAGAGACAGAGAGAGAGAGAGAGAGAAAGAGCAAGAAAGAGAGGTCTTCCATCCATTGGTTCACTCCCCAGATGGCCACAATGGCCAGAGCTGTGCTGATCCAAAGCCAGGATCCAGGAGGTTCTTCCTGGTCTCCCACGGGGGTGCAGGGCCCCAAGAACTTGAGCATCTGCCGCTTTCCCAGGCCATAGCAGAGAGTGGGATGGGAAGTGGAGTAGCTGGGATGGGAACCGGCACCTGTATGGGATGCTGGCAATGCAGGCAGCAGCTTTATCTGCTGTGCTGCATTGTCGGCCCCAGGGGTCTTCTTGATCCTCTTCTACCTCTGCCCCCACTGGTGAATGAGCCAAGGTTCTTTTTAATGTTTGTGTGTGTGTGTGTGTGTGTGTGTGTGTGTGTGTGGCATAAATCTATTACTCTCAGCTGGCACCGCGGCTCACTAGGCTAATCCTCCACACATGTGGCGCCTGCACACCGGGTTCTAGTCCTGGTTGGGGCACCGGATTCTGTCCCGGTTGCTCCTCTTCCAGTCCAGCTCTCTGCCGTGGCCTGGGAAGGCAGTGGAGGATGGCCCAAGTGTTTGGGCCCTGCACCCACGTGGGAGACCAGGAGGAAGCACCTGGCTCCTGGCTTCAGATCGGTTCAGCGCACCAGCTGTAGCTGTCATTTGGGAGGTGAACCAGCGGAAGGAAGACCTTTCTCTCGGTCTCTCTCTCTTACTGTCTCACTCTGCCTGTCAAAAAAAAATAAATAAATAAATAAGCTATTACTCTCAACAGTGAGCTTTTCTTTGTTTATTTTGTGATATTTGTGATAATATTTTAATTTTTTTCTCATGTGTTGCTTCACAGTAAGTTTTTAAAATAATGCAAAAATGTTGTTAGGCTATAGGTTGTGAATAAATTCTACTTCTATAGGCAGTGTTAGTGGAATACAAGGATTAAGTATCTAACTTTTCATGCTTATGCACTTACTAAGTTTTTGACTTCCCAGCAGTTAGATTTACCTTATTTATTTATCCCACCTGGTGTTAACTGACATTTCTGGTTGGTAACATATTCCTAGTTCCTAATGACCACTGGTTGAGTATTTATACGGTTGATCTATTTGTACTGATTAGGAATGGTGGATCTGTATTTTTGCTTGGAGTTATATAAGTTTTCTCTTACATAACTTAATGCTCTACTTAGGGGCACTGGTAGCAAGCCTTGTAATGTCTTCTTGGAGAACCGCCGGTTGTCTCACTGTGTAACCCTTGTAGTAGTCTGACCTAAATTCTGATTAGTCTGAAATGAATGCTGTTTTTCTACATTTCATTGGATTGGTATTGTAATGGACTATTTTTCTGCATATTTTTATTTTTAAGCAGTTGTGTATAGATGTGTCTTAAATTGATGAGAATGGAATTTGGAAATATTTATATAATTTAAATGAACAAGGGAAGGCAATTACCATATCCATTATGTTATGTATCTATTTTCATGATAAGAATCCTTAAAAGTCTAAATTCTTATTTATTTTCCTATAGTAGAACACATTGTTATTAACTATTTTCACCATGTTGCACAACAGACCTCTTGAATGTATTCCTACTATGCAAATGAAATGTGATTGGCCAAGATGACTTCAAATTCCCTTCATGTATCTGTGTATTTAAATGGTTTTCCTATAGACAGCACGAAGTTGGGTCTTGGTTTTATTTTTCCCATGTCAATCTCTATCTTTAGTGTATTTAGATAATGCACATTTAAAGTGATTATTGATGTAAGTGGGTTAGTATGTAATGTGGTTGCAATCATTTTCTCTGTTATTCTTTTTTTTTAAAGTCTTATTTATTGATTTTTGTTTATTTGAAAGTCAGAGAGACAGAGAGAGGGAGATCTTCCATTGGCTGTTTCACCCCCTCTGGAAAAAAAACAAAACCTATAACAGCTGCAACTCAGCCAGATTGAACACAGGAGCCAGGAAGTCCATCCTGGTCTCGCACATGTGTGGCAGGGACCCAATAACTTGAGCCATCACCTACTGTCTCCCAGGGGGTGCATTCACAGGAAATTGAATCACAAGTGGGGTTGCTGAACTCAAAGGTGGCAATCTTATATGGGACATGGTTATCAAAATTGGAGTGTCAATTTGTTAAGTCAACAACAGGAGTCACTGTGCACATACTCCCCATGTAGGATCTCTGTCCTTAATGTGTTGTACAATGTGAATTAATGCTATAACTAGTACTCAACCAATACTTTACACTTTGTCTTTCTGTGTGGGTGCAAACTGTTGAAATCTTTACTTAATATATGCTAAATTGATCTTCTGCATATAAAGATAATTGAAGATGAATCTTGATGTGAATGGAATGGGAGAGGGAGTGGGAGATGGGAAGGTTGTGGGTGGCAGGGAAGTTATGGGGGGGAAGCCACTGTAATCCATCAGCTGTACTTTGGAAATTTATATTTATTAAATAAAAGTAAAAAAAAATTGGTGTGTTTAGCTGTTGCACCAAATGCCCATGCCGATACTTGTTTTTAAACATTTTTTGTAATCTTATTTTATATTTTAAAATTTTTTATTAATTTAATTCATTAAAAGCAGAGATACAGAGTGATCTACCATGTGCTGGTTCACTCCTTAAGTTTCCAACACTGTGGCATAACAGGTAGAGCTGCCAACTGTTGGTTTATTAATAGTCCCATATAATATATATATAATATCATATTTCTATGATCAATTATCTTTTTTTTTTTTCAGGCAGAGTGGATAGTGAGAGAGAGAGACAGAGAGAAAGGTCTTCCTTTGGCGTTGGTTCACCCTCCAATGGCCGCCGCGGACGGCGTGCTGCACTGATCTGATGGCAGGAGCCAGGTGCTTATCCTGGTCTCCCATGGGGTGCAGGGCCCAAGCACTTGGGCCATCCTCCACTGCACTCCCTGGCCACAGCAGAGGGCTGGCCTTGAAGAGGGGCAACTGGGACAGAATCCGGTGCCCCGACCGGGACTAGAACCCGGGGTGCCGGCGCCGCAAGGCGGAGGATTAGCCTAGTGAGCCGAGGCGCCGGCCAATTATCTCTTTTTTAAAAGATTTTATTTATTTATTTGGGAAGCAGTTACAGACAGAGAGGGAAAGAGAGAGATAAAAGAAAGGTCTGCATCCACTGCTTCACTCCCTAAATGGCTCCAAGGGCTGGAAGGTGGTCTGTTCCAAAGCCAGGAGCCAGGAGCTTCCTCCAGGTCTCCCACAACAGTGCAGTAGCCCAGGGCTTGAGCCATCTTCCACTGCTTTCCTAGGCCATAAACAAAGAGCTGGTTGGAAGTGGAGCAGCCAGGTGACAAACCAGTGTTGATATGAGATGCTGGTGCTGCAGGTGGAGTCTTAGCCCACTGTCCTACAGTGCTGGTCCCCAGCCATGGCTTTTTTTTTTTTAACTTTTATTTAATGAATATAAATTTCTGAAGTACAGCTTATGGATTACAATGGCTTCCCCCCCATAACGTCCCTCCCACCCGCAACCCTCCCCTTTCCCCCTCCCTCTCCCCTTCCATTCATATCAAGATTCATTTTCGATTCTCTTTATATACAGAAGATCAGTTTAGCATATATTAAGTAAAGATTTCCACAGTTTGCTCCCACACATAAACAAGAAGTGAAAAATACTGTTTGAGTACTAGTTATAGCATTAAATCTCAATGTACAGCACACTAAGGACAAAGATCCTACATGAGGAGTAAGTGCACAGTGACTCCTGTTGTTGACTTAACAAATTGACACTCTTGTTTATGGCATCAGTAATCACCCTAGGCTCTTGTCATGAGCTGACAAGGCTATGGAAGCCCCCTGAGTTCACTGACTCTGATCATATTTAGACAAGGCCATGGTCAAAGTGGAAGTTCTCTCCTCCCTTCAGAGAAAGGTACCTCCTTCTTTGATGACCTGTTCTTTCCACTTGGATCTCACTCGCGGAGATCTTTCACTTAGGGTTTTTTTTCCCCCAGAGTGTCTTGGCTTTCCATGCCTAAAATACTCTCATGGGCATTTCAGCCAGATCCACATGCCTTAAGGGCTGATTCTGAGGCCAGAGTGCTGTTTAGGACATCTGCCATTCTATGGGTCTGCCCAGCCATGGCTTTTAATTTCTGTGTTTTTCTGATAATTGTAGTGGCCTTCTAATTGGCTGTAGGAAACATAAGCAGAGAAAAGAGTGCATTGCTTTGCTAGGGTGGCCATAACATAATTCTGTCAAATATGTGGCTTGAATCACAGC